TCTGATTTGATTTTTCATGTTATTGGCAATTGAGATAGTAAAGGAGAATATAATGTGCATCGAGTATATATTTGTTCGAATTTTACTATACCTCCTTTTCATGACGAAATGTATTGTCTAGAGGACCGCATGCGTATAAGTAATTCTCTATCTAGTTCCTCTAGTTATTTAAATGAGTTACAAGTTGGTTTGCAAGAAGGGGAGTGTTGTGGTTTTGCGACTACATAGACTTCAGGATCCAACCATATGACCATCAAGAAATGTTTCTCACCAGATGTTGTGATAGATAAAGATAAGTTCAATATGCTCCATGACAAGGTGAAACCAAGGACGGTTTCCCATCAAGAAGGGAGGATGATGAGGACACAACTATCTTGGATATAACCAAAACTACCTTATGTATTAATCAACCAAAGGTGCATATGTTCTACATTAGATTTATTTGTTATATATCTGAACAAACGTTACTACACAATGAGTTTTGTGTGTTTTCGTTTGCAGAGGTACTTGCTTGGGCGAAAGAAAAGAGACCGGGCGTAAGGAATGTATGGATGATTGAACAAGTTGATTGGTGACCAAACCAAGACCTTCTCCAAGTCCACTTCCATCTCACCACGTCACTTCTGGTCCATAGTGAAAGTGCATTAATCCCCCTAGTGGGTTTTGGTGATTAATGACAAATGTGGTTAAGGGACTAATGAGTTCATTGAGTAACTTTCAGGTACATTAGTCCAAAGGTGTGGAAGATGGATGCTTGGAGACCCCCCAAAAGTACAAAATCAAAGCTGACCGAAACTCGAGAAGTGCATAGGATAGTTTATCTTTTGAAATCGAGTTTTTAGGAAAAACCGTACTATTAAGAAGGGTCCAGGTGATGCTCTGAGATATGTCAAGTGCTCTTAGTGTGAACCAAGTGTCAAGTTTCCCTAGGAGTTATTTTTGCAAATTCTCCATCTATCCAAAAAATGCAAGTCCGGAACTTCCTGTCTTCCAGGTCTGGAAGTTCCGGTCTTGTGAAAAAGATTTTCCAAGTGTTGTCCGGAAGTTCCTGTCTTCCAAGTCCGGAACTTCCTGTCTAGTTTCTAGTTCAAAATTGTGAGTAACGGTTAGATGATATCACCTAGCCGTTATACATAACCAGCTCATTTCCAGCTCATTCTTTGGCCATTCCACTTTCACTTTTCGAACCTAGAGCTGTTGCTAGCCTCTCCCAAGTGTTTCTTGCCTTCTCCACTCAATCTAGAGCCTAATTCTTGTGAGAAAGAGAGATTTGAGAGGGAGAGAACAAGATTTGGAGAGTTGTGAAGACTAGGATCTTGGGTGAGCACTTGGAATATCTCGTGGGATGTCATCTTGGTGCTTATTACTCTTGGAGATGATCTCCTAGACGGTTAGGTGTCGCCCGCGAGAATCCGTTGCATATTGTAGATGTCCCGGGTAAGTTTGTGAAGGATCTCCTCTCCTCCGAAAGGGAACGAGGTAAGTTAATGAAGTTCTTATGCTGAGATTCTAGAGGCTTTCCAAGTAGAGCAACCCACACTTGTGGCGGATTTCTAGAAGTAGGTTGAGTTGGATCTTGGTGGTCACTTAATTCTAGAAATTTGCCTAGGAGTGTTTGGGGTTGAAGGCTGTGGATTTCCCATGGGGTTTTTGCACAAGTGAGGCAAGGGGTTAATCGAGACCCGGCTCTTTGGAGCTCCTCAACGGAGAGTAGTATCGCAAGATCCGAACTTAAGGAAAAAATCGCTCTTGTCTCTTTCTGTGATGTTTCTATGGATGTTTCTGTGATCTATCCTCTACTTAGAATACATGTGCTTCATCTTGTGAAGATTGGCTTAGTCTCGTGTTTCGAAATTGGAATTTCATCCTTGTTCTGTTACCCGAAAGTTCCTGTCCTAGAACACCGGAAGTTCCGGGCCTGGCAAACCAGAAGTTCCGGGCCTGGCAGACCGAAAGTTCCGGTGTTCCTTACCAGGAAGTTACGGGTCTATTTGAATTTTACCGCTACGATTTGTTTTTAAGTTTTCAGGGACAGACTATTCACCCCCCCCCCTCTAGGCTTCATCAGCACGTTCACATAGAAGATAAGAGATAAAATTCTACACGTTTTGGATTCAGATTCGGGCCTCCTAACAGCATCAAATACAAACGGACCTAGCCGCTGATATAGAAGAAATTTCCCATTAGTACTTTTTGGAAAGATTATGGAGTCTATTTTCAGATGGTTTTGGTCCCACGTCAAAATTCCTACTGAGCTGCCGGGAATCTGTAAAACAAGCCACGTATCTCATCCAGTCCGAATCTGATTTGGGTTTTGGGCCTTGTAATTGTGTCGTGGGCTTAGCCCAAGGGGGTGTGCACCCTAAGGCAACCCTAGGACGTCCCTAATCATACTTAATCAGTAGCCGTCATCGTTTAGAGTCAGGTTTTGCTTAGATTAATCTGTCAAGAACAGTTTCGTCGCTATATCGGTTTGTGGAACTCCAAATTCGAGTGCTTGATCATTTATATGCAATTTGGTTGCAATATATCTTGTTCTTACTTATGTTCTTCGATTCGCGTGCATGGATTAGCCTCCTCGGCGAGATCAACCGGGTTTCAGCATGGTTGATAACCAGAGGAGACGTGGTGCTACGATTGCGGGGCTCAGTAGTGTGTTCGTTCAGAAGCCGGATCGAGTTGTGTCACGACTCCGCCCAAATCGACTGTTTATCAATACCTATCGAAAGATCGGGACCTAACATCCCTCATCATATTACTTCCGTTCTAATGTTTCACTTCTATCTTTTTTTTCACATAAACAGGAAGGAAAAAGAGAAGAAAATGGAGGGAAATATAAAGAAAATGAGTTAACGGCCGTATGGCTTGCCGCGTACGTGCCACATGTGGTCCCATTGGAGTCGTAGTAATTTGGGACCGAATGATCCGCTTTGATAAGTTCGAAAATCTGAAAATGTATTTGAGAATCTAAATGACGTAACGAACTAGGGACCGCACTCTACTTCACTCTTTGTAAATTATAGCTTTAGTTATGTTTGGTTTTGAGGAAACCTGAAATTGACGTCAGGATGGAGTTTTCCTTTTTTTTTTTGTTTTTTACTTGAACCACTGCAATAAAAGGCCCACGAAGTTAATACATTGAAAATAAGGAAGTTTTATATGCATAGAAAAGAATGAAATAGCTAGAAAGATTACAATGCCGACGAAAGCTAAACAAATAAGATATCTCTTGGGTTCTATCCCATAAAGAATAAGGTGCAAATCATCCTTTAGAAGGGTTGCAACCGTAGCTGTCTTCCATACAAACTACCCTTGCGCATTAGAATGGATTTTCCTAAAGATTATAAAATTAATTTTTTTTTAAGTTTCATCTCTGTTCGCAAACTTATCAGACATAATGAAAAATTTTAACAAAATTTAATTTCTCATTTGACTGGAGTTTTTTTCCTGTGGTCCACTTTCTAACATCGGTTTTTAATTTATCTGTGGGTGAAAGGTGAATTTAAATGTTTTATTTGTAAGTCTTTGCAATTTCAAGAATTAGCAATTCCAAAACCATTAACATATTGTACGAACCTTATGTTTTTGGCTTCATATGTTACTTTTTGGTGTTGGAGGCAAATTCGGTCACCATCATATATCATAAATTGATAAAAATTACAGTACAAACATGTTTTAAGGATGGTCGATAATCCATTGCGGTTGCGGACAGTATATGTAAAAATACCAAATTTCTCACCACCTAATTAAAAATGCTAACCCCTAGCTTTATGTGAGTGAAAGAATCTGGGTCAATTCATGTTATTCTTACTTTGCAGAGTGTAAATGATGAGATGTAGGAGTAGATATTTTCGATGGACTTCACATCCGAGCGATGAGGCTTAAAAGATAAAAAAAAAGGGGGAAAAAACTTCCCTCTCTAAGTCTCCTGATCTCATCGTTCTCCTGTTCTCTCAGCGCGAGCTAGGTCAGCCATCTAGCCTTCGCACGATCGACACTGCCCCCCCCCCCCCCTCATCGGGCTCAGCTCACCTAGATCGAGCTAGGGCTGGCCAGATCAACTCCATCCAACGCTGCCAGCCTTGGCTGACCCAGATCATTGACACCTCATTTGGATCATTCTTCTCAATGCCGCCGCCGAAGTCGATATCACAGACCTTCAAATCTCACGTCCTCGCTATGTCTCTCTGTCTTGGTGTCTGTGATGACTTGTCGAACCACCGGGACCTAACGGTGATAGGCGGTCAAGCGCAAGAAGCCCTAGAGGACAGGATGCGGTGAGTTCTCCAACAATGATTCTCATAGACGTGCAAGGCCCCTGCAGCTGGAACAGGCTATTGGCATTTTCAAGTAAACACCCTGCGCCGGAAGGACGCGCTAACTCTATTGGCAAAATGTTTTGAAAGAAGAACAGCCCTATCACTCATGGCTGAACTCTTCTCTTCAGGCCTGTCACCATGATAATAAGAAGTTATTCATCTATATCTATACCAATATAAAAAGCACCAGTTCATCAAACACCTCTCTCTCTCTCCTGACCCTTAGATCTATTTATCCAACGGTTTATATCAAAAGTTGAATCAACCCCTGCAATTAGCGATTCCCACTCCCCACTCCGCCTAAACAGCGGTTACAGAAAGAGATCGGTAAAAAGAAAAAAAATAGCGATCGAGTGCCGCTTCTTCCGATCTTCCCCACCCACCCTACGGCTTGTTTGGCAACTTGGCTTGTTTGGCAACTTGAGAGAAGGGAATTGGGAGTTTACACGAGGGAATTGATAGTGAGATTAAGATGGAAATTTGATTTTTCATCCCAGTCTCTTGTTTGGTAGAGGTGGTGGAAATTGACAGGGAGTTTAGTTGGAGATTAGATCATTAATGAAAACGGATGGTTGAGATTTGTTTAGGCGGAGTAAAGGAGGAATTCCCTCCCAATTACCACCCCCACCCAGGTATTGAAAAGGAGGGAGTTCGATCTTCAATTCTCCATCCCCATCCCACTAAAATTCGCATGTCTCCCAACCAAACAAATCCCTCTAAACTTCTAATCCCTCCTAAAATCTCTTCCCAACCAAACGGGCCGTACGTCCCTACGCCTCGCCCTCACCCTTCCCCTCGCGCCCGCTCCCTCGCAGCGCCGTCGTAGGCGCCGGGCGCCGCCGCCTCCTCGCGCGCGCCCGCCGGAGAGCCAGTTTCGAGAGGACGGAGAGCCAGGCGCGACACGAGAGAGGCAGGGGTCGACAGCGGCTGGCTTGAAGCCCTCAGTTCCGCCCCTCCCCGGCGGTCCACAGAGGCCGGCCCCGACGGCCTCAGCTTTGCCCCTCCCCGGCACCACTCCTTCCCCTGTGCTCACCAAATCTCCTTGCAGCGCGAAGCACCACCACGCCTCTGGTGAGTCTGCCTTCCAACGCCAGCTCTCAACCTCTTAATCATACACTCGATCCATCCCTAAATCCCTTAATTAGGTTAGTTAATCACTAAACAATGCTTCGATCCCATCCCATTTTTATCGCAGCATTCAACAATCCCTAGGACGTATGCAATGTGTTCGTTGATTTGCCTAAGCCAGGTTGGCCAAACTGCGTATTACGTTCTTCCGTGCATATTGGTTCAACCATTGCTTCATTGCCTTTATGCTTGCTTTGCTATCAACTTTTTATTGCTCCGATCTGACATTCACAATCCACAGAGGCTTGCTTCTGTTTGATTTAATGGCTCCGCTTGATTAAGCCTCAGAAGTATGCACTTTGTACCGTGAAAGTTGAGCACTTTGTTGTCAGAGGTTTCATATTATAAGACTTTCTATCATTGTCCACATTCATATATATGTTAATGAATCTAGATATATATGTATGTCTAGATTCATTAACATCTATATAAATGTGGGCAATGCTAAAAAGTTTTATAATCTGAAACGAAACGGAGGTAGTATAATAATGGAGATCATCGTGTTCCTGGAATTTGTAAGTGGGTCACGAATTTCTCTCGTGATGAGGTAATCATGCACTTCTTCCCCCTATTAATATTTTTTAATCATTTCAGGAATGTCAAATATTGGAATCAAAATTTCAGCCTTGGAACTTAGTGTCCCTCGTCCTAATCAATGGGCTATCTTTATTTTAGGAACATAAGCTGTGTTTCAGTCAACAAGTAAAATGGTCCACATTGTTTGTTGCTGGTGCAGTCCCTATGCACAAAGTTGGATGATATCGTTTCACACTCCTTTTACTTATGGTAGAAATCCTAGCTAAACTTTTGCTACCTCCTGCCCATGCATACATCTATATACTTCTAATTTCCCCCCCTTTTTTTAATGACACAGCAGGTGCTCACCAAACAATTCAGATTTATCTAAAGCTCCAAATATATTTTAAAAAACGATGTCATGCTGCCAAAGATTTGTGGATATGTGAAATGAGTTCTATTTACTAATGACGTAATGTATAAATTTTATATATCAGCATATATTTTCTTGGCTTGTTCTTTTATTTCTTTTTATTTGGCTGAAATTTGATTGAAAGATTTGATGTGGCTAAAAATGAGAATTTCTAAGGCCATGTTTGGTGTCTCAAGAATTGAGTACTTGCAGCCATGCCGAACATCCCTCATGCTAATGTCTACCCAAGCTTTCAGATTTTAAGGCCCTTGCCACATTGATCAAAATATTCAGTCCAGTGGAGGCTCTAAATTTGCTTTAAATCTAGATGGTTTCCAGCGGTAAGGCCTTAAGGCATCATATTCTTATGGTTAGTGTTTCTATGTGCCGAGCTTACTGATGTCCATGTTTGAACCATTTTCATCATCATTGTGGATATATTATTTATTTGTAGTTTCACCAAAAGTGGAGTGTAGCTGTGGACTCTTGGATTACATTGAATCTTGAAAAGGTACTACCTCCGTCACAAAATATAAGAAGCTTTGAGGTTGGACACGGTTATTAAGAAAGTATGCAAAATTAAATGGATGGAGGTGTGATTGGTTGAAGAGTGGATGTAGGTGGGGAAATTGAATAATGGAGGATTGTAATTGGTTGAGAAGAGAATGTTGGTAAAGAAGTTGCTATATTTTGGGACAAATTCTGAGTGCTAGAATTTGTTATATTTTGGGATGGGGGGAGTATATGCCATTCCAATTTCAGATGATGCATTTTCCCTAATTTGAGATGTTGAACTTTTTCCAGCCTAATAGAGGAACCCTTTCCTTCGGGGAAATTCCATGAAAGATATTAATCTCCAGATTTTAAGATTGTTGGCTGCCACTTCAATTCTAGGTCTTTGCATGCTTTACAATATGGTCCTTTTGTATTAGTATTATGATAAAGGAAAATATAAAGGTGGTTTTAACTAATTTTAGTGTTTGTAGAATGGTCACATTTGATATATACTTTTGTACTTCAATTAAGGCAACTATGGATGATATTTTTTGGATAACTATGTGATGACCATTTTTTGCAAGTGAAAGAGATATCAGCTTCTAGGTTTTGCATATCACATTAACAAGTGAAAGAGATATTAGCTTTTGGGTTTTGCAGATCACATTAACTTATATTGGTCACACGGCAGGAGATGTATACATCTCATCGGTGATCATGTAAATGCTATTTTAATTGCAGGCCAAGAGGGGCATATTTGAAGTAGTTGTTGCTGAAGAGAAGCTAATTTATGTACATCGTGGAGACGTGGTCTTTTTTTCCAATTAGATACTGTAGGCAGTGAGCTTCACTACAATGCCATATAGACAAATATCTTGCTTTGAGTTTTCGAGTGTTTATCGAGCTACGGCAAATTATATATTCGGTATTGTTAGCTGCTTTGTATTTTTTTAGTGTTTTAAAAGGGTGCTTAATGTATAGTATGTCAAATAACATTTAAGTAGATATAGTTATTAAACTTTATTGTGTTTGTATATTTCGTCTGACATATAATGTGGGAAAATGCAATAGATTTTGAGTGTTTGTTAACATGTGATGTTCGAGACAACCTACTAATCAACATTGCGATCCACAAATTTCTCAAAAATGGTCTCAGATGCATGATGGTCAAAACAAAGCTGAACTACAATCCTCCATTTCTGAGAGGAACTTATCTGGCAATGGATGTTGAACTGATGATGAAAAATAATAATTTTACACATTTTCCATTTTGGTACGATATAATAGAATAAAAGTTTATATTATTTCATGAATTACCAAGTCAACGCTTACAAAATTTTTTGATCGGTGCCTATGATCTCTAATGTATCTGTATATGTCAACATGCATCAGCATTCAGCAATGAAGGGGGTGTTTAGATTCAAGGTTATAAAGTTTTGGCGCGTCACATCGGTTATTATATAGGGTGTTGCATGGGATATTCGGGCACTGGTAAAAAAACTAATTACAGAATCCATCAGTAAACCGCGAGGCGAATATATTAAGGCTAATTAATCCGTCATTAGCAAATATTTACTGTAGCACCACATTCTCAAATCATGGAGCAATTAGGCTTAAAACATTCCTCTTGCAAATTAGTCGCAATCAGTGTGATTAGTTATTTTTTTAAGTCTATATTTAATACTTCATACGGGTGTTCAAACGTTCGATGTGACAGGGTAACAAATTTTGAGGTGGGATGTAAACAGGGCCAGACATATTTTTCTTCAATTGTATATGTCGAGGTGACAAATGTTGAGGTGGAATCTAAACAGAGCCGAACATATTTTTCTTCAATTGTATATGTCGACGTGCCTTGCATATGCACTCTAACTAGTCATAGGTAGAAAGAAAGACCCTTTCTCTAAAGAGAATCCATGAAATACCATTGACAAGCACCATAATCCCAGAAATGCTATCGACGAGCGCAACTTCCTGAAAAGCCATCATACAAGCCTTTTTCTCTCAGAAATGCCATAACAGCCATACTGTTGTTAACTCCTCCCCATTAAGTTGTATGAAAAGACAATCTTACCCCTGGGTTCACACAACATTATTTTGCATTGATGCATATTTAAATTCACATATATCATTATTTTGCTATCAATCAAATTATTTCAAAATTAAATTCACAAATTTTGGCATCAAAATTATTTCAGAAATTTTGCTATCAATTATCAGGGTTGTGATATCAGCAAAAATAGGGCTATCAATTATCAGGGCAATACACACAAAGTACCAATTATGATCAACATGAATTTTCACAAAATAAAGAGTTCACAGTACTTAATTAGCATCACAACCCAATATAAAGGGGTCACAGTGCCATCCCTATGCCGCCGCTTGCCACCTCCTCGCCGCCCGTCGCCTGAGAGCCTGCTGCCGACGCGCCACCGCTTGGGAGCCGTGCGTCGCCGGGGGCCCCGTGCTGCCAGCTAGGAGCGCCGCCACGTCGCCGCCTGGGGGCACTGCATCGCCAACGTCGCCCATCGGTTAGGTTTAGGGTTCTCTTTTTTTTTTCCCAATTTCTTTTCTTTTACCGCGTGGGGATAGTAAAATTTGGAGCGAGGGCAATCTGGTCATTCTGGTAAAAAAAATTCTAACGGTGTGGACTAAACGGTACGTTGACTTTGATGGCATTTCTGGGAGAAAAAGGCTTATACGATGGCATTTTCAAGAAGTTGCGCTCGTTGATGGCTTTTCTGAGTTTAGGATGCTTGTCAATGGCGTTTCATAGATTTTCTCTTCTCTAAAAGGTTAATTTGATTCATGCTATTGCAAATATAGCTATTTAGATAAATGCCATTACAATTCGTCTATTTGTAACTGTGCCACTCAAATTTTACAAAATTGAAAATTTGGAATTATGCCATGCCATCACGTTTTCCATCTTCTTCCTCACATACATGTGGGACCCACCTGTTAAGATTCATCTTCTTCCTTTCACCTTACCTTATATTCTTCCTTCCCCATCTCTTGCAAGAACCACAAGTATGGCTGTCCGTCATTCCTGCGAGCACGAGTCCTGCTTCTGCCCGATCTGCCGCTGCAGCTTCTCCGCCTATAGCCGACTTCCTGGGGTGCCACCTGACCACGCGATATGGCAGGGGCCCCCTCGGCGGTGGTGGTGCCCGTCCAATCGCCGACCATCCTTTGCGCTGACGACGGGAGGATCTTCCACCTCAGCTGCACGCAGGAGCGCGGTGGCATTACCATGTGCATGGCGTGCATCCGCCCCGACCATGTCGCCGGCGCCGAGGAGGAGTTCACCTACGAGGTGAGGACGGCGTGGCAGCGGCTGCACGCCTGCACACCATGGACGCGGCAGCTCCATCGGGCGAATCTCCGGCATGTCCAGCCCGATGTGCCCATCGCGCCAGTCCCGTCTTGTGGGCCATGTTGTCAGCAAAGGGGAGATTAACCATCGCTGCAGTCGCTGTCGTGTGCTCCTCGTTGTGCAGTTTCGTGCATCGATCTACCTGTGCTAGCAAGCAAGCTCCAGTCCGGAGCCCGTTATTGCGGCTCTGCCTCCGCCACCCGCGGACGCAGCCGCTGTTAGCTTTGGCCCAGGAAACAACGAACTCACACTCACACAAGCAGCAAACTCACACGAGAGCTCGTTGGATAAACACAAAGAAAGCAGACACACTAGCTTTTGCGGCAACTAATGCCTTTCCTCTTTTCTTTGTTAATTAACACACACGTAAACAGATGATTACATAGCTTATATAGCTAGCTAGTCTTCCTCACATGCACATACGGGAGCGCCTACTCCCCAGGTCATACGCGCACGTACGCACGGCCTGCACGAGCCACGAACTCATGCACAACAGACTCACTAACTCCATGATCCACATGAAGCGGTCTACCAGCCTGACCACCTAATCACGCATACAACTAACTAACTACTTGCTAATTCCATGCATCTAGTTATTCCACTAATTAAATTAACTCCTACATGCAACACACGCGCGAACCTTTACCGATCTATGCACGACAACACATGCAAAATATTCTAATACATGTACAAGTCATGATTAGTGTTAACAGCCGCCACATCCCTGCCTTCACTGTAGTTGGCAAGAATCTTGCAGCCCTTTGTTCTACATGTTTCTCTGTGTTTTTCCCAGCGCCCGGCTCGCCTAGCCGCCGCCTCGCCCACTCGCTGCCGTGGCCGGCTCGCCTTCTGGCCTGTTCGTCGTCGTCGGCCCACTCCCAGCCGTCGCCCAGGCCGCCGCCGCGCCCAGCCACCGCCTCGCCCAGGGGAGGGGGAAGGAGGAGGGGAAGCCAGCCGGGGAGGAGACCGGTGGGAAGCCGGAGAGAAGAGGAGAAGAGATAAGGTAGAGAGAAAGAGAGGTGGATGGGGAGTGGTTGAGGGAGAAGAGATAAGGTAGAGGTGGGAGTGGTTGAGGTTGCACGGGAAAAAGGGAAAAAAAGGAGGAGAGAGATATGAAAATTTTGAAGTGGTTGAGAGGGAAAGGAGATAGGAATATCCTGTGTGGTTGGGTTAGGACGCCCACACGGGAAAATTGATTTTTCGATGCGGGCGACACCCCAGCGCCGGTTCCTTATTTTTCCGTGCATTTCCACTTACGACTGTATGGAAACAAAAAGGGGATGTCCAGGAAAATCAATGTTATAGTAGTGTTTGTTCGTTTGTTCCTTTGATCTCTGACTGTGATCGAGAAGAACATAGCAATTTGGGAAGGAAGAAGACAAAGAAGGTGAAAAAAAAAGATGAATCTGAATGTTGGGTCACACGTGTAGATGGGGAAGATGATGGAAAACGTGACAGCGATGGTATGGTTCTAATTTTGTAAAATTTAAGTGGCACAGCTATGAATAGACGAATTGTAATGGCATTTATCTGAATAGGCATAGTTACGATGGCACGGATCAAATTAACCCTTCTCTAGACCCCTAAAGCTTTGCATAAGTACGAATTTGGAAAGGAATAGGTCTTGCTTGGAACAAAACGGAATTTGGTTGTTGCAACACAAGGGGAAAACTCATCATAAAGTAAGGCAATAGTTTCTTGCACAACAACAGAACCAGCATAGGATTTTCCAAATATTGCCTGACTTTCCAACAGAACCAGCCAGGTTCTATCATACAGCAAGCTATTTCATTCTCGGAATTGGGTTTGAATCAGAATCTCTTTCCTAAATAAAAACACATGCTTCTAGAATATTAGGTAGATGAGTACCAAGCTATCATGTGGTTTTCCTTCAATACCACTCCTATCATAAGTCTGATATGACTACGAGCGAGATATGGCTATTCCTATCCTTAAGCGAATACTGGAACAAAAGTAAAAGTAAGGTCTTTGACATGACCCAATTTTTTTTCTTTTTTTTCCTGACAACCTGCCGTATCCTTATAAGCATATATATATATATATATACTAAATATTTATATATATGTCCATAAGGATACAAGGCAAGGTGTAATGTCTAACCATCACAACTGGAGCTTTTACACCTACAGCCGTGGTTCCATTTATTTTTGAGAAAATTCCTTGTGTACCCCTGAAATTTCACCTAATCCCTTTTACGCCCTTGAATTTTGTTAATTCCCTTACATACCCATGAATTTTAGTTTGGATCTTTTCCATGCCTTTTCCGCTAGTTGACCGTTAAATTCTTATGAAAAAGCCCAGTTTGCCCATTGCTATGAAGAAGCATATAAATTAATAGAGTGTATTGTTGGAGCGTAAAATTGTTTTAGATGGGACTACTATATTTATGAGTTAGTTATACACCATATTATTTGCGATAAATATACTTTTAGATATGACATAAAAAATTAATACTTATTTATTAGTATTAAAGTTGCTTATGTGGCATATAAATATATTTGTCTTATACAACAAATCTATTGTATTACTATCAAAACACATATGCTACATAAAAAACTTTTAATAACTAATAAATAAATATTAACATTTATGTGATATCTAAAATTAAAATAGTCAGAAATAATATGGTGCATAACAAACTCGTAAATATAATACTCTCATCCAACAAATTTCTACACTCCAACAATGTACTCTATTAATTTATTATGTTTCTTCATAGCAAATGGCAAAATGGACCTTTTCATAAAAATTTAACGGTCAACTAGCGAAAAGGGCGTGGAAGGGATCCAAACTAAAATTCAGGGGTATGTAAGAGAATGAGCAAAATTTAGGGGCATATAAAGGATTAGGTGAACTTTCATGGGTACATGGGGAATTTTCTCTTTATTTTTCACCTGCTACATTGCATAATACATCGGTTGGTTCACTGACCAACTTATTATCACCAGGACGATACCTATACCTAGCATGCAGGTATGTCCTCTTGTATGCCTCTAAAGACTAAAGACTAAGTAGGCCACACTCTCCGCTCGGTTTGCATGTCACCATTTCCCTATGACATCACATCTTGACTAGTTTCTGCGCACATCAAATAGTAATAATATATGAGTATGTGAAACATACTCAGCGAGATTAATACATAAATTTTTATATGCATATTTTTTTAAAGAAGAATATTACTGTCCATGGAAATTAATTAACGGCCGAAAAATATATTAAAAAACATTAAAAATAGTAAGTGACTTAAATACACTCTTCATAGGTATTAAAATAATCGTCATAATCTTGTTCCTTCAATCCATTTTTTCCAACTAATGATAACCTCATCTGAGAATCACACCGCCGAATTCCCTACTTGTGTGATGCATTCCTTCTCTCACACTGATATCAGCCGACCCGATATCGTTGTTTCAGGTATCGGTCGTCTCAGGCTAAGTATCACAATCACGTTCCATGATTATGACGTTATTATTCTCACTGATAAAATCATCAATTCATTATTTGGGTGTTAATAATATTTACTGTTAGATTGTTAGTATCATCATCCCAATATATAATACAGGTAAACGAATTTAGTTAGAGATGATTAAGTAAAATAGTTGATGGGCACATTCTTGCCTTGTCTTCTGTTATTCTTCCTCTGCGTCCCACCTAATCAAATATATAGGTCTTGGGTATTAATTTATATTTATATTTGTCATGCAGGACATTAGCTACTGACATCAGCTACTAGCACCATAGGTAGCTAGTTGATGTGACTATACTGGAGAAAGAAAACCAACTTGTAGTAGTATGTACTCCATCCGTCCCAGAAAGAAGGGATTCCTGGAAGCCCAAGGTAGTTTTAGGACAAATAGCAAAAGTCTAAACTACCCTCAGAAAAAGTACACCCAATCATTAGCTACAAATAAAATAGTGTAAGTTGAATTAATATTACTACTGCTGTCACACATGCAGACATTAATAAAATGGTAGTAGTACTCCATACTCCTATTTCTGCTGCACACATGCAGACATTACCAACACACAGGCAGACACAGGGCGCCAGGTGCCAAAAAATTTGAATGAAGAGTCAAACGCCACTTAATTGGCAGGAAGTAATACAAATTTAGCACACCCCACCACAACAAACCCTACAAGCTTCAAATCAAAAGTTTCCCTCCCACTTTATCATTTTATAACTCTACCAAAACACAAGTTTTCCTCCCACTTTATCCCTTCATAACTCTGCAAAAACACATCCATGGCTTTAGATCTAAACTACTCCCTCTATCCCCTAATATAAGAGATTTTGATATTTTGCTTGCACTGTTTGACCACTCGTCTTATTCAAAAAATTTGTGCAAATACAAAAAACGAAAAGTTCTGCTTAAAGTACTTTGGAGAATGAAGTAAGTCAAAAAAAATAAATAATAATTCTAAAATTTTTTGAATAAGACAAATGGTCAAACAGTATAAGTAAAATGTCAAAATCCCTTATATTAAGGGACGGAGGGAGTAGAAAATATGCGCACCAAACGGCGCACTTAATATCTAACCCGTTGGTTCATATGAGTGTGTACAGGACTCACAATCCGCGCATGCAAAATGGAGCGACATATTTTCTTTTGATTAATTAAATATTTATTATTTTTTTGAAAAATAAATTAATACAACTTTTTAAAGCAACTTTCGTATAATTTTTTTTTAAAAAAATACACCGTTTAGTAGTTTGAAAAGTGTGCGCGTGGAAAATGAGGGAGCGAGTTGGAAAAGTAGGGAAAAGAACATAGCCATATATTTATGTATAAAACATTAGATTTAGAAATATTGGTTTTTAGTATGTGAGCATGAAAAATAAGTTTAATGAAGGCTTATATAACTATCTGAAGTGAGCGCGCAGACAACTATTGTTTAATTTTGTACATTCAAAATTGCTATGAAACGTTTGGTCCAGCCCAAACTGACGGACGGACACTGGGACCTGTAGGTTCGTGATAATTGTAGAAGTGTGAATCGTGAGAGGCGAGATTAGAGAGATTTAGAAACCTGAATGGGCAACTTCTCCGTTAGCACCGGAAAATATCCTGATTTTCTTATTACATAAAATCGGAATTTATTTGCAAGATGAGGAAGGACACGTGGTCCAATCAGCTGGCTGGAGATCCAGCCAGCTTTAGAAGTATAGATATACCATTAGATGAGGGAGATGAACAGGCTGTACCTAATCTCAATGAAGCAGTGGCTGAAGAAGCAGCAGTGGCTGATCAAGAGGATGACCAGCTTGGAGGTGATCTCCACGGAGGTGCCATCCATGTGCTTCCTTTTGATATCAACTTGTATGCATCTGACCATCAAGGAGAAATACATCCAGGTAACCTTGTAAACATGAATAGAAAACAATTGATCTTTGTAGATATGGCTTGCATAAATCACTCTAAAATCTTTGCCATTTCTCTGTAAAAATGATCTATAACATGTGCATTGATGCAATTGCTATCTTCTTGGAACAAAATTGATCTTTCATAAGATTGAGAAAACAATTAGGACTTGATTTTTTTTCTTTGATATTTACCAACTCAATTCTGTCTTTGATATTTATACATGTATCTACCTACAACTAATCATGATATGCTAGATTCTACATGGATAATTTCCTTTACAGTACTGGTATTGAGCTAAATTGTTTGTAGCTCAAGCAACATCATCTTAATATAAAGTAGGAATAAACATGAGAAATCAGAAAGCAAGACCACTGTTTTCGTCTATTTGTAAAATCATGAACTGGAATAAAAAACAAACAACTTTTGTATCTTCCTTTCTAATGTCATAATTTCAGCTAGTACTATAAAAGAAAGTTAGATTGTACCTCCAATGTTGTGCGCAAAGAGCTCTGAACTTCAGCACGATATATGGAACCATGGACCAATATAGAATAATCTGCATGGAACCATGGATCAATATAGAATAATCTGCATGCAAAAATTATTGTTTTTGGACATGTGTTAACGGCTGTTAAGTACTGAATTAATGCCGTCAATACTTACATAAGACCATAAATATAAAACATCCAATATAGTGGTAGAGTTTATTTCTAACAATTTCCATGAGTGTTGCTGTATATTCCTATGCAGGTGACAAACTACCAAAGTTGAGAGGAAATATACATGAAGGTGGAGGAGAATCAAACTCGTATCCGAACTTATGGAGTTTTGGACCCAGAAACCCAATTAAACACCTCCAAATGGACCAAACATTCATACCAATGGATTTAGGGGCCTAAAATGAGTGTCCAGGCCGAAAACCGAAGCGAACGGAGCCGTCCCAGGTTCGGCCGAACCCTGAGTACGGATGAACCCTCACGAAGGCCGTTGGCCCAGGCCAAAGTTGCGTTTGGTAGCAATCCGCTTACCAATGACGGTTATGGCCATTTTCACCGGTAGAAACCGTCATAACATGGACACTTGACAACACAAGAGAGAAGATGCTCTTTGGATGCTTGGAGGATCTCCACTCTCTCAAGTCACCTCCACACTATAAATACCCCTCTCCTCCCTCATTCTCACACACACCAAAGCATGAGCTGAATTATAAGAGGCTCTAGTATACTTTATTGTATATTAGATTAGGGAGAGAGTAAGGTAGAAGAAATCGGAGGAATTACGGAGTTGTCGGTAATCTTCTCTTAATTCTGTATCTTGTTAATTACTTTGCTTTAATAGAAATATCATTCTGAGTAATTAAGATTTACTTAGTGAGAATTACTTTTTGGTTAGTTCCTAATTAGCGTACAGGATCATTGTTCACTATAGTTTATTAATTTATAGTGATTGCTTTAGTGTTTGATCGGCACTAGAGTAGTTATTAATTGCGTAGACGCGGTGTCTAGGTAATTAATTTCCAGTGGTTGCTGCGTATCCCACAGTACGTTTGAGGTGGGTGTAGAGGTGGTGACAGCCCTCAAGAGAACTTAAGTCCTCCCTGTCCAGGTACGTAATAGAGCAACATCTGGAAACAGCGGGTTGCCAGTGCCTGAAGTATTGCGTTAGGATTAAAATTAAGCTTTCCCTAGACACTGTTTCTTATTAGGAAATCCTCTATGCCCTCTGCCCACATTAGCTTTGTGTCCTTGGATGAACCTGACGATGAGTTGAACTCACACGTTCCCTATGGAAATCGATACTCTGGAATACTCCCAGGTGAAGTGTTACATCTGTATCTTCTGTGCGCTTGCGGATTCTATCTATAACGTTAAGAAATACCAACAACATGGTACTCACATGGTATTTGTTATTGTAGACGATGCCGATGCCATGGATCAAGTTCTGCAAGTAAATGGAGGTCACAACCATAATGCCTTTCCTTTTGATCTCAACTTTGATGCCGATGAGGAAGACCTACAAATGCATCCAGGTAAACCCTTTCATGAATATCAGACTTACAAAAAAAATGATAAAATGTGGTTTTACCCAAAGGATCATTGAAGAATAATATTATTTATCTAAAACCATGTTTTTAATTAGTAGTAATATTATATCATGCCAACTACCTACAATAGTCCAGCCGTGTCATTGGTTGTATTAGTTGCAATAACAATTAAGGATTGTAAATTAGACATTTCAGCACATAGTATGTCACACAGAATAATGAGATTGACCAATAAATACATTGATATCTTGTATTTACATACAATTGTCATGTCAATTGGTTCACTACCACAGCAGTCTGAAAGAAAGCACATAAACTAAATTGTGTTAATGTCTCTCTGTCTCACTTAGATCTAATATGTATGGTTAAATCATATTACAAATAAAACCACGTGGTGAACCTAAAAAGTTATGCCATAATGTTGCAAGCATGTTGATCCATGACAATAAAATATTAAAATTCTGAATTGGTACATATGACTAACCGTATAATTGTTGTTGTAGACATGCAAGAGTATGGCGTGTATGCGGGTGATGTGGAAGTTGTTTTCGAACAAGAGGAGTTGGATGATTCAGATCAGGAAGATGAACAACAAAACAAAAATCTGACCAAAATACAAAGGCAACAAATATATGCAGCATTGGCTGGAAAAACTAACAATGGAACCCTAAGAAAAAATGCTACAACTGAAGTTGCAGCAATGTTTAATGTGAAAAGGGCTAGAGTGCAAGCAATTTGGTGAAGAGTGAAGCAATGTCGTGCCAAGGGAATACCAATCGATGTAAGGTCTAGGAAAAAAAAGAATTGTGGTCGCAAAAAGAATGAAATCAACCTGACAGATGTTGCTAATGTTCCCTTGCAACTAAGGAGCACTTTACGGTCATTTGCATCAGCCTCAGGTATACCAAAGAACACGCTGCACAGGATGTTGATAGAAGGGCTGCTAAGACGTCACTCAAACACACTAAAGCCATTGTTGAAGGAAGAGAATAAACAATCAAGGCTGCGGTGGTGTCTTTCCATGTTAGATTGGCATACTTTGCCAAATGAACCCAAGTTCATTGATATGCGAAACATTGTGGACATAGATGAAAAATGGTTCAATACAACTAAAAGGACAAGAACCATTTACATGGTCAATTGGGAGGATGATCCATACAGACCTGTCCAAAACAAAAATTCTATTGATAAAGTGATGTTCTCGGCAGCAGTTGCTAGGTCTAGATACAATGAAGAAGGTATCTGCACTTTTGATGGCAAGATAGGCTTGTGGCCTTTCACCAGAAAGGTACTATAACCTCTTCATATATGCATTTTTACTTAGTGATTTGATCTGAAAATTAATTATTTGATCTGAAAAGTAATTGTTAATCTAACTTGATTATTGTACTACTTAGGAACCAGCTCAAAGGACAAGTCATATTAGATGAAGGGGGACTCTAGTCACCAAGACAATCAAGGTTGATCAAGATACCGTAAGGTCATTTCTGATTGCTAAAGTCCTACCAGCTATTATAGCAAGTTGGCCTCGAGAAGAAGCACACAACACTATATGGATTCAGCAGGATAATGCTCCCTCTCATGTCCCAGTGGATGATACTCAATTTGCCTATGCAGTTTCCCAAACAGGGTTTGACATTCAACTCATGCATCAACCTCCTAATTCCCCATATATGAATGCACTAGATCTTGGGTTTTTTGCGTCTCTACAATCATTAACATATAGAAGGATATCCAGGAATATGGATGACCTAATAGATAATGTTGAGCAGTAATTTCAGGTCTATGATGACAAGCTAAATAGGGTGTTTCTAACATTGCAGTCTTGCTTGTTAGAGGTTACGAAAGCTGATGGTGGAAATGGATACAAGATTCCTCATATGGGTAAAGAGAGGCTAGAGCGTCTAGACATTCTCCCCAATACACTTAGTTGTGGTTTTGAGCTATATGATAAGGTAAGAACAACATTAGCCAACCAAGTGCAATAAATCATGCAATATGGGAAAGCACTATCATGGTTTCAGCTTTTGGTTAAATGTCAGGTTGTATATGTGATAAGTTAAGATCAGTGTTACGCAAGTAATTTAAGCACTTCAAGATACTATGTTAGGCCATCATTCATAACCACCAAACCAGCACAAAAGCAACACATAATTTTAAGCATTCATCTAAATTTTGTACTCTTAAAACATTCCAGAAAATTCTTTACCGATTTTTCCAAGGCATCTTGGTCTTGCATGAGTTCTTCTAGGCCTCTATCATCGTATGGATCTTGCGCATATCCCCCAATGACCATGCCAACATCATTGTCGCTATCCTTCATCTCCTCGCTGCTCCCCTCCTCGCTGATCACATCCTTAGCTTTTCCACTCGTATCCTCAATGTTGATTTGCCCGACGAGTGCCTTCTCGAAGAGGGGCTTGTGGTCGCTATCGTCTTCCAATATTGTCCTGGAAAGGATAAAACACAATACCAATACAAGATGGGATCAGTTGTTAGACACTTGAACCTCCAACATATAAATAAAGTATTTCGATTTGTGATGTAAAGGTGAATCTATCACCGAATCAAACTAAAATGTATTTTGATTCCATTATATAATGATGCAACATGTGAACAATCAATGTCTAAAATGAAGTAAAGACCAAAGGGACTGATCATGGCAATGATATCTAAAAATCAGAGTACATCAGTGTATATATATATCTGTGTGCCCTAGTTAAGGGATCAAAACCAGTGACTTATCAAAAAAGAGTTGCGCTCAATAAATGTTAAGCATCCATGCTATTTCTCATACAAAAACAGCAAGATTATCTAGTTAATTTAATTGGCTATGAATGGCAATATATGAAAATGCTACTCCTAACTATTCGTGGGTGCAGTTGGACTGTTGGAGCAAGCTGAAGCTGTTCAGGGCAAGGTTTCAGAACTCCTTACTGATTATTCTACTCTTAGTGTTACTAGTAGTTTTAAAATAAACAGGTCAAGCAAGCAACAGCCGCTAGCTAGTTAGCTGCAGCCAGCAGGGGTCCCAAATTAATCATGTCATGCCATGCACGAGGGAACAAAACAAGTGTGACAAGTGTGACACTAGTATACTCCTGTAAATTAGTTTCAGCTCAACTGAAAAGGAGAGGGGAACATGGTGTAGTGACCTACAAAAATGAGGGATGGAGTGAACCTAAAGACCGCCCATAGGCCACAACTTAACTAATATTTGTGGACATAGAGAGTATTATGGATTATCGAGGGTAAGCTTTGTAAGTTACAATCTTCCCATGAATTCTTTGCCTATAATCAGTCCCTTTTTTAGAAAAAAGAAACTTATCAATCTTCTAATATTTTTTCAGAGACCTTTCTAATATTTAAATCCACCTACTTTCTACTTTCTTAATACTTTCTAATATTCAATTATCTCAAGAAATTGGTAGAAACTCAACATATATAATTAATCATCCACCGGAAACATAGATTGGTTTGAACATATATAATTAATCCCATATTAACATTGCAGGAGATTATATATGCTCGTAATTATATGCAAGATAATACAATATTTGATGGAACATTAAAGTTGAAATAACTACTATAAAGAAAGCATGCCAACCGGCACGCTAATGTTATAGTACTTGCTATACCTAATAGTTATTTTCATACAAAAAATTAGGTATGCAACCACACCCCGTGCATCTGTGCTACATCCTCCATTGAAAGCAGTTTTCAATGCCATTCAAATGTCACACCCGGAGTTCTCCCTTCCCTTAGGTTTCAAATCACTAATAAATAGCTTCAAGAATTTGCTTTGGTTAACCAGGAGAAAACCCCAGTTAACAATGCATTTAATAATCAGAATTATCAGGGAGAATTTTTTTTCGAATTCTCTTTGCTCTAAAAATCATTAACAGGACTTAAAGAGTAAATATCAGATCACCGGAGGCAATGTTGCTAAGTTAAAAGTGTCAAGTTAATCTTCTTCTTTTTCCTTTGGTCGTGAATTGTGCCCAATTCACTCCTCCTCTTAGTCAGCGGTTCATTTTGCATGACGAACCGTATCCGTGTCAGTTTGCGGGACCGTTTCCTTTCCTTTCCTAGAACGGCACCGCCTTGTTTTTCCTTGTTCGGAAAGTCCTAGTCCCCTCCTTTTTCCTTTTTCCCTCCCCCTCTCCCACGCGCGCGCCTCCCCTCTCCCCCTTTGAGTCGGACTCCCTCCCCTCCCTCCTAGTCCTACTCCCTCTAGGACACCTCCTTTCCTAATCCAGTCCTCCCCTATATAAGTCTTCCTCCCTAGTTTTTATTTCGTGTTTTCCCGAGTCCTAGCTGCAAGCCGCCGCTGCCCACTGCCTAACCGCGAGCCGCCGCCACCGCTTGCTGCCACCGCCGTCGTTAGCCGCCATTGCGTCGTCGGTACTCCGTTCTCCTTTATTTTGGATGTATTTGGTGCAGCATTCATCAATTCATCTATCTAATTCCTTCCGTTCAATCTTTTCTAGCATCATCGTCGTCTATCCCGAGCTCACCGCCAGAACAGCCGCCGCCGCCGTCGTCCTCCCTCCGCTCGCCGTTCTTTTCCGGTGAGGTTCTCCGTCCTTTTAGGACTAAGTTTTCTTGTCCCTAGAGTTTCTGCCGTAGCCCTAGCCCTAGAGCCGAGTCGTCGTGCCGCCGCTGTCGCCGCTACCGCGCCTTGCCGAGCCGCCGCTGCCGCGCGCCTAGCAAAGCCACCGCCGCCGCCGCGTGCCGCCGAGCCGAGCCACCCTAGCACTACCGTGTCGCAGCCGTGTGCCGCTAAAACCTAGCCACCGCTTTAGCCCATTGCTCGGTAGTTGAGTTGTCTAGCCGTAGGTGCAACCCTAGGTTCCTATGGGCCAATCGTTTGCCAAACCGAGGCTTTACCGTGAATCGTGTCTATCCCGCAGGTTTAGCCGCAGCCGTTGTTGAGTCGTTCGCTCGTTCGTACGAACGAGGAGTTCTCCTGTGGTTCGTTCGTTCGTCCGTCCCGAGTCAATTAGGGTTCAGAGCCACCGGTTCCATTCGCTGGTTTCGGTTGATCATTTGGGTGATCCCGTGTCATGTTAAATTGACTCGTTGAGTCGGTATCTCGTGAGGCTCGCTTGCCAGTCAATCTATCCTTTGATTCTATGTTCTTTTGGGCTTAAATCCCTGTCAATTGACTAAGGTCTTTATGTTAATACTCCCTCCATCTACTTTTGATAGTCATATTTCATCTTGGCACACAGACCAAGGATAAGTAATTCTACTTATCATCCATTTAAACATGCTACTAGTCATTCCTCGTAAACAAGCGATTCATTAATATTTACATTTCTCGATGCCCATGTAGCCAATCTTGTGTGGAAGAATGGAGAGTCACGCATTAAATCCAAGAAAGTCATTAAGATGATAGGTTGTTGGATTGAAATATGTTTATCAAAAATAAATTTTTCAGATTTGGAAATATGACTATTAAAAGTAGATGGAGGGAGTAGTAAAAGACATAGAGCACATTGTAAAATTCATAACTAAATAATCTGAGCTCCGTTTTAACCCATTCAAATTGCAATAAATTCGTTAAAATGTCAAGAATCCATTAAAATTGGTTTCTTTTGCTGTTTCAGTATCTTTTTAGCTTGTATTTATTGTGTTCCTTTTTTGTCGTTTAGATTCCGGCAGTTCCGACGCTCCAGTTTATTTTGAAGTGGTCGCCGAGGTCCCGTCAGCTGAAGAGCAAGGCAATTCATACATATATCATTGATTATATTGAGCCTATTTGCAAAAACCCATGCTTTTCTCTCAAAATTGCATTACTTTTGTAATGTCATGTGGGATGGTTTTACCCATACTTAGCCTTTGTTACCCTGAGTCATTGATAGCTTGGGTTAATAATTTGACAAGATGATTGGTCTAGGATTGCTTAGCCATGCTTAGATCAACTATCTCACATTGGGATTCACTATAATATAGTCCTTAATTTGCTGTTGCTATGCCTTCTTGGCATATGGTTAATTAATTAAAATATGCTTTACTTGGTGGGTCGTGGGCACATGCATGGTTTCTTTTGGTGGTCGTGCCCAAGATAATTAAGGACCGGTTCTCGAGAATCCCTAGAAGATATACTCGTACTAACCACAAGCCAGATGGGCTCCAGGCTGAATCTTAAGTATAATCTTTTCTAGCTAGCGCACCATTGGCAAGGGTAAGCGTGATGGAGTATGGATGGACCGGGAGGCGGTCTATGCTGCTTCCGATTTACCTAGGCACGAGCGGGGGCTGCCTGCTCCTGGATTTTGGCATGGGGGAGAAACCAGAGGTGCGTGTGCTGGTTAGGGGTGGTTATATGGAGGGTTTTTTCACGATTTCCCCCATTGCAGTATCGTGGCGGTACTTTGGGGCATGTTTTCATGTGTGGAATCATGTCTTGTGGGTGAAGTTGTACACCTCTTATCAGAGTAAAACTATTCGAATAGCCGTGTCCGCGGTTATTGGGCGGTCAACCAGCTCACCATGATTAGTCTCACCTTAATAATTTGCCTTAATGAACTGGTGTAGTTCATGTGGTTTTGGTTTGGGCCTGTCGCAACGTGGTTTAGCATTGGACAATGATGATATTAATACTACTTAATTATCTACTGTTTTACTACTTTCAACATATGATTTACAAATGCTGCTTTTACTGCAAAATATCATATGAGCCAATCCTTTGTTTACCCTTGCATCATACCTTCCCCTAGGTATTACTTGTTAAGTACGGTGGTTGTACTCAGTCTTGCTTCTTTTTTCCAATCCCCCCGAAGCAGAAGTTGGTTCAGATGGTGAGTTCTATGAAGATTAGGCTTGTGCTAGCCGTCAAGAGTTTGCCTGGGGAGTTATGGAGGAAGCTTCGCATTGCTGTGAATATTAAGTCTAGTTCTTTAGTTTTTCCGCTGCATATGAGTTTTATTTTGTTATTTTTGTAAGACGTGGAACTGTATAAATTGTCATCTGTGTACTCTGGTTGATGCCTGGACAGAGGTTAATGCACAGATGGCCGGTGATTTGGGTTGTCGAATCCCTAGGCGCGACATCAAAGCAGTTTTCATTGCATGAGAAGAACGTATTGGTGGCAAGGAGATGAAGCGGGAGATACCTTTGGTAGCAGGATGGATTTTCTACCTCATCGCCGCCAATGTCCACAGCTCTTGGCGCCGGAATTAGAAAAGGTGGTCGGTAAGCCACCTTCTCCGCTGTTGTCCCTACCTGCATCAGATCCGCGGGCGCCGCCACCTCCTTGTGCATCACATCCACCGCCTTGCATACCTCTAATGCCTTTGCCACACCCGAACCGCTTCCATCCCCCGCCGTCGCCACCACCTTGCAAAGCTCCGATACCGCTGCCACATTCGAGCCGCCTCCTGCCGTAGCCTCTTGAATAAGAACCGCAAGACGGCACACCTCCTCTGCCTTGGCTCGCGTATCTTTAATCAAAACCATAATTTTTTATGCCGCTTCCATGAATGCTGCTACCGAGCCAAATCTTTCCACCGGAACCGCCTCCTTTATCGGATCTAAACCCTCGCAACTGTCTGCCACCACATCCGAGCGGCCGCATCCTGGTGAACGCAGAACATCGAAGGGAGAAGCGGGAGCGAGGGGAAGCGGCGTGGAGCGGGGAGGGGTGTGCGGGGAGGATCGGGAGGGAGGGAAGCTTGCGGCTTCGATTTGGCATCTGGAGGTGCGGAGGGGAAAGATCTGGGAATGAGAGAGAGACGAGAGGAGTACGCAAGAGAGAGAGGTGGCAATTCCGGGAAGGGGAAGAGATAATGTTTCTGTGGTGTGAGAGGAGAGAGAGGTCGCTGCCCTCAGTAGTATGGCCCACAGATAGATGCGATAGATAAAATATCTGGTTTTTTGGGCTGGAATCGCTTCTTTGTGGGACAAATCCTTCCCGCCAGAAATTGCCTCATTCTGGGACGGAGGGGGTAGATGCTTGCATGCATCTAGTCTAGCAGTGCTGCATGGGCGCAGTACTGCATGCATGCAGCATGTAGTACAGCTGCTTGCTAGTAACTCCTAGTCTCTATACTACCCACTAGAAGTACTAACCTTTCACACTAATATATCTATCTCCTGCTGCATTTAGTACACAAGTTCATAAAAGCACCCTATTTCTATAAAAAAAATACGGTAAATGTAGCAGCTTATTAGTACCATAAGAAATTTTGCTGATCTAGCTAACTTATTACAGCTACTTGCTAGGTCTGAACACTATTAAAATGTAACAATACACTTACCTCCTTGATCTGTGCAGCCCTGTTCTCACGCTGGTTTCTATGGTGCGAGTAGTATTCCTAGGTTTCCGTAGGCTTTTATAGCAATAGCTTTCTTCGGACCGAATGAGACACCTGCCTTGTTTATGAGAGGAATGGATAGCTTTCACCTGCTGGACATTTATTTGTTTTTTTTTACTGGTCACTACGTTCCTATCCACTGGTGCATGTCTATCCTATCCCCTTTGGTCAGTAAAATATACTGCCCTCCCCCATTCTCTTTCTTTCTCTAAGCTTAACACACTTTAAGTTCACAAAATTATTATTATTATTATTATTATTATTATTATTATTATTATTATTATTATTATTATTATTATTATTATTATTATTATTATTATTATTAGCAGCAGTGCTGCTGCTGCTACAGGCTTCCCTCCTTTAGAAATTTCATCCTTGAAATTATTATACCTTGGTGATGGAAAAACTGAGGCTAGTTTTTTCTGGAGATCATCTTCCTTCTCCCATGTGGCCTCATCCATGGTGTAATGACTCCATTGTACCTTTAAAAATCTAATTGTTTGGTTCCTTGTTTTTAGATCTTTAATATCCAAGATACAAACAGTGCAACTCAGCCATAGGAATTTCAACTTGATCACTTGGCCTCCGAATTCATTTACGAAGCATGGAGATGTGGAATACATCATGTACCCCGGTGAAAGCATCTGGTAGCTTTAGCATGTAAGGCACTTCTCCTATTTGCTTGACAATTGTAAATGGTCCAACATATCTGGGACTTATTTTTTTTCCAAGTCCGAATCGCTTAATTCCCTTTATAGGTGATACTTTTTAATATACCCAGTCACCTATATCAAAGTTAAGATCCCTTCTCCTATTATCTGCATAACTTTTTTTGTCTATTTTGAGCTGTTTGCAGTCGTTCCCGTATCAGTCGTATTGTTTCTTCTGTCTGTTGTATTATATCCGGTCCTAACAATTTTCTTTCTCCTACTTCGTTCCAGCAAACAGGTGTTCTGCATTTCCTTCCATATAAGGCTTCATACGGAGCCATTTGTATACTAGATTGATAACTATTGTTATATGCAAATTCTGCTAATGGCATAAATTCTTTCCATGATCCTTTAAATTCTAGGATGCAAGATCGTAAAATATTTTCAATTATTTGATTCACCCTTTCAGTTTGTCCATCGGTTTGGGGTGATATGCTGCGCTGTAATCTAATGTTGTTCCCACGGGCTTGTGTAGTCTTTTCTAGAAATTGGACAGAAACTGTGTATCTCTGTCTGACACAATCCTTCTTGGAACACCATGTAAAGATACTATTTCTTTGACATATAGTTTAGCTAACCTTTCCAAAGAAAATTTGCTTTTAACGGGTATGAAATGAGCAGATTTTGTTAGCCGATCCACTATTACCCAGATACTATCATTTCCTGGAGGTGTGGTAGGTAATCCTTGAACAAAGTCCATACTGATTTCTTCCCATTTCCATAGTGGAATACTTAAGGGTTGTAACAGTCCTGCCGGCCTTTGATGTTCAACTTTTACGCATTGGCAGATATCACATTCTACAATGAATTTTGCAATTTCTATTTTCATGATACATTTTGGTACTTCCTGGATGTATGGTATAGGGAGAGAAATGTGATTCTTCCAATATTCTCTGTTTTAAATCAGGGTCGTTAGGCACACACAATCTATTTTTGAAACATATAGCACCATTATGATCAATTCGAAATTCAGACACCTTCCCTTCTTCAATATTTTTCTTTGCCTTTTGCAATTCACTGTCGTCTCTTTGTTTCTCTAGAATATTTTCTTCTAAAGTAGGCTTTATTTGAAGCACGGGTAATAATACTCTGGGTTCATGGATCTTTAATTCCACATCCAATCTTTCCAAGTCTCTAAGTATATGTTGATCCTGTGTGATCTGAATAGCCATATTATAAAGAGCTTTTCGACTTAGAGCATCTTCCACAATGTTGGCTTTCAGAGGGTGATAATGAATATTCAAATCATAATCTTTCAATAATTCTAACCATCTCCTTTATCTCATATTCAATTCCTTCTGAGTAAATATGTACTTTAAACTTTTGTGGTCAGTAAATATTTCACAATGCTCACCATATAGGTAATGTCTCCAGATTTTTAAGGCAAAAATAACAGCAGCTAATTCCATATCATGGGTTGGATAATTTTGCTCGTATGGCTTTAATTGACGCGAAGCATAGGCAATTACCTTACCTTTTTGCATGAGAACACAACCTAATCCAATTTTTGAAGCATCACAGTAAATAGTAAATTCTTCTCCCATTATAGGCAAGGCAAGAATAGTAAATTCTTCGCAATTCTGAGTCCACTCATATTTTACTCCCTTTTGTGTCAACCGGGTTAGAGGAGCTGCAATTCTAGCGAAGTTACTAATAAATCGACGGTAATATCCCGCCAACCCAAGAAAACTTCGTATCTCGGTTACCGATGAGGGCCTTTTCCACTCTGAGATGGTTTTGACCTTTTCAGGGTCCACTGATATACCTTCACCCGAAATAACATGACCAAGGAAAGATACTTTATCCATCCAGAAATCGCATTTCTTTAATTTGGCAAATAGTTTATGATCTCGCAATGTCTTGTAGTACTATTCTCAAATGATTTGCATGATCTTCCTTAGTCTTGGAATATATCAAAATATCATCTATATATAAATACCACTACAAATTAATCAAGATAAGGCTTGAATTTACGATTCATTAAATCCATAAAAGCTGCCGGTGCATTAGTCAAACCAAATGGCATTACTAGATATTCATAGTGTCCATAGCATGCACGGAAAGCAGTCTTGGGTATATCACTAGGTTTAATCTTTAGTTGATGGTAGCCTGATTGAAGATCAATTTTTGAGAAAACCCGAGCTCCTTGTAGTTGATCAAATAGATCGTCTATCCTTGGTAAAGGATATTTGTTTTTGATAGTCACCTTATTCAGTTCTCGGTGATCCATGCATAATCGCATAGTTCCATCCTTTTTCTTGACAAATAGAACAGGAACACCCCACGGGGAGACACTAGGACGAATGAATCCTTTATCTTCTGATTCTTTTAATTGTACATTTAGTTCCTTTAGCTCAACAGGGGCCATTATGTAGGGTGCCTAATAAATCGGAGTAGTTCCTGGTCCTATTCAATACCAAATTCAATCTCTCGATCTAGTGGTAATCCTGGTAATTCAGCTGGAAAAACTGGAAACTCATTCACAATTGGCATTCCTTCCCAACTTGCTTCCTTTCTCATGATTTCTGCCACTAAAGGTCTTGGTAAATTGTTTTAATCTCCATGGTAAGTAATTTGGTTTTGATCCCATGGTTTAAGTGTAATTTGTTTTTCATGGCAATCAATATTTGCTTTGTTCTTACATAACCAATCCATACCAAGTATAATATCAAAATCATGCATATCCAAGGGTATGAGGTCAGCAGTTAATTCCCATCCATCAATAGTAATTGGACACAATTTGCAAATTAAATTAGTTATTTGGCTATCCAAAGGAGTTTCTATGCAAATCCTTTCTTTTAATTGACTAGTAGGGATGGTGTATTTTCTCACGAAGTTGGTGGAGATAAACGAATGTGTTGCGCCAGAATCAAATAAAACTTTACCAGGATAAGAGCACACTAAGACATTACCTGTAACCACGGTGTTGGATTCTTCGGCTGTGTTCTTAGTTAAGTTGTATACCCCAAGCGCGATTCCCACCTTGTGAATTATTCGATCGTATTCCTCATGTAGTATTAGTATTTGCGGGTGGCTTTCCTTGATTTGGCCCATTATTATTTGCTGAAGATGGTCCAGGTAAATAAAGCGACGGTACTGAAGTCAATACTTTAGTACTTGGCTGAGTAGTTCAATTAACTCGATTTTTACCCTTCTGTAACAGAGGACAAAGGTACCTAGTATGTCCTGCTTCTCCACACTCAAAGCACCTTCCCCACCGATTAGGACAAATTGATGGAACATGGCTACCTTGGCATATTGGACATTTTCTGTCTTGATTTTCTAAAGATTCCCTCTGCATTTGTCCAGAGTAGTTTCCACGGAATCTTCCCTGGTTTTGTTGATTATTTGTCTTGAATTTCTTTCAGGGTTGTCCGTGTTCTATTCTTTGTTCATGATACCCCTTCTCAAGAAGTTGTGCTTTACTTACTACCTCCCTGAATATGGTTAATTCAAAGGCTTCGACGCGCCTTTTGAGAGGTTGGCGTAATCCACTTTCAAATCGTCGAGCTTTAGAGCCGTCCGTTTGTACAAATTCAGGAGCAAATCTTGCAAGTCTCGAAAATTCTATTTCATATTCTACTACAGATTTATTACCTTGCTTAAGCTCTAGAAATTCCTTCTTCATTCTCTTCACACTTTCTGGAAAATATTTCTTGTAAAAAGCTTCTTTGAATAATTCCCATGTAATAGAGATACGTTCCGAATATGACTTTTTGTGAGCATCCCACCATTCAAAAGCACTAGACTGAAGCATATAGGTAGCATATGTAATCTTTTCTTTATCTGTACAACCCATAGCTTCAAATGCCTTTTCCATTGCTACTATCCAAACTTCCGCTTCAAGTGGATTGGTAGTTCCTGAAAGGAAAAAGTATGAATTACCCTCTGAACTATTGCGAGAGTATGAATTACCCCCCCCCCCCAAAACCACAAAACCAAACATATTAAACCTCAAACTATTGAAATCGGATTACCCCCCCTGATTCAATCCGGAGCGGTTTGGTCCTACGTGGCATACACGTGGCATCGCCGTGGAAATCCAATCAGCAATATTAGGTGGTCCCACATGTCATGATCATGTATTTCTTCCACTTTCCCCTCTCTTCATCTCCTCAAGGGCAAATAGAAAGCGGCGCGGTGGTGGCGCTCTCCAGGGCGGCTGGGGGAAGCGGCGGCGGCGGCGTCCAGGGCAGGCGGGGAAGCGGCGGCGATGACGGCGCCCTCCAGGTCGAACGGGGGTGGTGGCGGGGAAGTGACAGCAGCGACGGCGCCCTCCAGGGCAGGTAGGGGAAGCGGTGGCGGCGGGTGCGGCGGGAGCGCTCGTGCGGTGGGCGCGGCGGGAGCGGGAGCGGGCGCGGCGAGGAGCGGGTGCTTGTGCTCCTCCTCCGTGGCGCCAGAGATGGAGCGGGTGCTCGTGAGCGGGTCGGCCGCCGCTGCGAGCTCGCTGTGGAGGCGGCGAGAATCGAGATCGACGGCGAGCTCCACGGAGATGGAGAGAAGAAGGGAAGGGGCAAAGAGGAGGGGGAGAAGAGGAGGGTTGGGCAGATAGTGGGCCCCACCATATTTATTTGTTGTGGCTGACAAGTGGGTCCTATATATTTTTCTTTTGTTTTGGCTGACCAGACTGCCAAGTGTGCATCCAAGTGTGCATCCACGTAGGACCGAAACCACCCTAGATCGATCTAGGGGGGTAATTCATCCGGTTTGTAAAGTTCAGGGTTAAAAATAACTGGTATTGGAGTTCAGGGTTAAAAATCGGACGACCGTAATTGTTGAGGGGGTAATTCGTACTTTTTCCTTCTTGAAAATGTTGGTGGCTTCAATTTCTGAAATTCCCCAAGTCCATTCCGGTTAGCATCACTTTTAGTAGTACGTTCTAAAATCTCCATCTGTCGTTGTTGGGTTTCCTGTTGCTTGCCCAATATATTCGCGAGTAAGTTAGCCCAAGGGTCTTGACTACTTGCACTAGGTATTATTGATCCAGTGGCACCATTACTAGTATTATTTCCATCCTGACTAGTACCATTGTTGTTGTTGTTTTGCTCCATCTATCATATTCAACTCATTAGCCAGAATACATAAATGGTCATTGGATGGATCTCAAAATGGTAACAAAAATCAGATTTACTATAAAATATTCAATATAGGTAATATTAAAATAAAACTATTTAGTTATATTATCATCATTATACTTTTCTCTTCTTCTTTTAGTCTTATCATTATTCTTAACATGCACCAGTTAAAAAATAAATAAATAAAATTAGTACAAACCACAAGCACCACAGCACTAGTGCATTACGGTCATGTTTAGATTCAAATTTTTTTCTTCAAACTTCTAACTTTTCCGTCATATCAAATGTTTGGACACATGCATGGAGCATTAAATGTGGAGAAAAAAACAATTACACAGTTTGCATGTAAATTGTGAGACGAATTTTTTGAGCCTAATTACACCATGATTTGACAATGTGATGCTATAGTAAACATTTGTTAATGATAGATTAATTAGTCTTAATAAATTCATCTCGCAGTTTACAGGTGGAATCTGTAATTTGTTTTGTTATTAGTTTACATTTAATACTTCAAATGTGTATCCATATACTTGAAAAAAAATTTGGCACACGAACTAAACACAGCCTACTTCGACGAAAAGAAAGTGCAGAAGCCTATCATGCTACACAAACACTAAGGCAAACACCTACTGATGTACTAGTGCCACATACAGAGCTCTGGTTGTTTACACAAGATGTCTAGAAAGACATCACCATGAGTTCTGATGTTAACTCTTCAGTTCTAAAAGCTCCTTTGGCTGTCTCGTGGCCCATCCACACATGCTACTGACACTAAGGGTGTGTTTAGTTCACACCAAAATTGAAAGTTTGGTTGAAATTAAAACGATGTGACGGAAAAGTTGGAAGTTTACGTGTGTAGGAGAGTTTTGATGTGATGAAAAAGTTAAAAGTTTGAAGAAAAATTTTGGAACTAAACTCAGCCTAAAGGACTTATTATAGTGGAGTACATCCCATCCCAAGGGAAAACAAAACCCATACTGACACCACTCCTACATCTCACACACTGCCACTAGAGCTGTCACTACCCCCAACCCCACTCTGCAGAACAGTAAATGGTTTCACTCAGGTAGCGGATGCGGTGGTACAGGCGATAGGTGAGGCGCTCCAGAAACATAGGCTGTGTTTAGATGGTGGAAAAGTTGGGAGGTTGGGAGAAAGTTAGTAGTTTGGAGAAAAAGTTAGTAGTTTATGTGTGTACGAAAGTTTTCGATGGGATGTGATGGAAAGTTAGGAATTTGGGGGGAACTAAACACGGCGATAACTTCATTCTCACTGGAGCGAACAATAGTCGGCAGTTATTTTTATATACATATTTGTTAAAGAAGAAATATTACTGTCCATGGATATTAATGGCCGATAAATAGTATAAAAAACATTAAATATAGTAAGTGATTTAAATACATTCTGCAGAGGTATTAAAATAATTGTCATAATCTCGTTCCTTCAATCCATTTTTTTCCAACTAGTGATACCTCATCTGAGAATCACGGCGCCGAATTTCCTACTTGTGTGAGGCATTCCTTCTCTCACACTGATATCAGCCGACCCGATATCGTTGTTTCAGGTATCGGCCGTCTCAGGCTAAGTATCACAATCATGTTCCATGATTATGACGTTATTATTCTCACTGATAAAATCATCAATCAATTATTTGGGAGTTAATAATATTTACCGTTAGATTGTTAGTATCATCATCCCAATATATAATACAGGTAAGCGAATTTAGTTAGAGATGATTAAATAAAATAGTTGATGGACGCAGTCTTGCCTTCTCTTTTGTTGTTCTTCCTCTGCATCCCACCTAATCAAATATACATGTTTTTGGTATTAATTTATATCTATATTTGTTATGCAGGACATTAGCTACTGGAACCAGCTACTAGGACCATAGATAGCTAGTTGATGTGACTCTACTGGAGAAAGAAAACCAACATGTAGGCCTGGTTTATTTCCCCCAAAATTTTTCCTAAAAACATCACATTGAATCTTTGGACATATGCATGGAGCATTAAATATAGATTAAAAAAACTAATTGCACAGTTAGGGGAGAAATCACGAGACGAATCTTTTGAGCCTTATTAATCCATGATTAGCCATAAGTGCTACAGTAACCCATATGTGCGAATGAAAGATTAATTAGGCTCCTAGTCTCTATACTAGCCACTAGAAGTACTAACCTTTCACACTAATATATCTACCTCCTCCTGTTGCTTTTAGTACACAAGTTCATAAAAGCACCCTATTTCTATTAAAAAAAAAGGTAAATCTAGTAGCTTACTAGTACCACAAGAAATTTTGCTGATCTAGCTAGCTTATTACTAGCTACTTGCTAGGTCTGAACACTATTGAAATGTAACAATACACTTACCTCCTTGATCTGCGCAGCTCTGTGCTCACGCTGGCTTCTATGGTGCGAGTAGTATTTCTAGGTTTTGGTAGGCTTTTATAGCAACAGCTTCCTTCGGACTGAAGGAGACACCTGCCTAATTTATGAGAGGAATGGATAGCTTTCACCTCCCAGACATTTATTTGTATTTTTTTTACTGGTCACTACGTTCCTATCCACTGCTGCATGTCTATCCTATCCCATTTGGTCAGTAAAATATACTGCCCTCCCCCATTCTCTTTCTTTCTCTATCTTTCTCCAAGCTTACTACGGTCTTCCTTCAAAGGGTGTGTTTAGTTCACACCAAAATTGGAAGTTTGGTTGAAATTGGAACGATGTGACGGAAAAGTTAAAAGTTTATGTATGTAGGAAAGTTTTGGGGTGTGTTTAGTTCACGCTAAAATTGGAAATTTGGTTGAAATTGGAACGATGTGACGGAAAAGTTGGAAGTTTGTGTGAGTAGGAAAGTTTTGATGTGATGGAAAAGTTAGAAGTTTGAAGAAAAAGTTTGGAACTAAACTCGGCCAAAGTGAAATGAAAGCAAAGGGTATTGCAAATAAACCATCCTATCCTTGATTTTGTTGAGGTGAGTGGGCATGGCGTCGTCACTGCTATTGACATTGCTGACTCCGCCTATGTCATTCTTGCCTCGGAGATGTGCACGCCAGGGAGAGGGACTTGGACTGGGGCGAGGTATCGAAAGAGAGGGAAGAGGGAGAGACTAGTCATGGTCTCTGTCTCTGATGCATGTGGGCCTTACTGGTGGACCCCAATGTCAGGTTGGTGGGGTTGCCAGCACAACGGACACCACCAATACCAACTTTTAAGGAGTATCAATGAAACTAACTTCATTTCTTTGCTTCCGCATGTGCCAAGGTGCATATAAGTCCTTTTTATAGCCAATGAAGACCTTGCCTCTAAAAGGATGTTGGAATAAAATGGGATGACCTGGTTCCAAGGAGTGCAATACTCTTTTAAGATTTGAAAGACGGTTTACTATTTTTTTTTCGACAAGTTTTAATTGAGTAGAAACTTTGACCATTATTTTTAAGCGATGTCAAAAACAGACATGCTTTAATGTAAGATATTAGTAAAATGCTTTCGATTATATATCATGATACAATTTTGAATGTTCTCTCCGTTTTTGCAACTGATAGAGGGATGTAATTGGGATGAGAAGGCAAGTATCTTTTGCCAGCTTATCCCACTTCCTGTTTATTTTTCTCCCAAACTGTATACTACCATATGGAAAATGAGGCGATAATGCGCAATTGCCCACGTGCGGTCGTGGTGCCCCTGTTCCATATGGAGTACTTTTCAAAAAAAAACAACAAAATAGAAAGACATATTTGAGTATATAAACTTTATACATGGAAATATATACATGGAAACTTTGAACACATAAAACTTTATATGTAGAAACTCTAATAAAGCAATATTTTGTATGAAAAAATTGAATTCAAATTGAAATCCAACTCAAGCATGTAAAATTTGTGTACAAAATTTCGGTGTACAAATTTTTTGTGTATAATTTTTTTTCTATAAACTTTAGTTTATAGAATCTAGGTGTACAAAGTAATATTTTGTATGAAAAAAATTGAATTCAAATTGGAATCCAAATCATTCATATAAACTTCGGCGTGAAAATTTTCAATGTAAAAACCTTAGTGACAAATTTTAGATGTTTAAACTAACCAAAAATGTATACTGTGTGGTATAAAAAAAATAGTGGATCAAAAAAGCGAGTACTTGATGTCAGCTCAAAAACCATACAATTCCAGTTGACTCATGGCTACTGCAAACCTCCAGTTGAGGAGTATGCATGTGGACTCTATTTTAATAGTTGATTAGTAGTACTCCACTGGTCATCCACCCGTGCTAAAAAATATATAAAAATATATGAACCTTCCGTGCATTGTTGCGGGATGAATGGAAAAATAATAATTACTCAATGATGCTGCTGCAACACCGATCATTCATATGAAAAGTGTCCTGAAAACTAAAGACTGGCATGCACCGGAAGAGTCCTGTGTTGCGCATCACCCTTGAGCTCGACTTGGCCTTCTCCCCCGCACGCAACTCCTATACTAATGCCACCAGATCAGCTCGATGCCTCGATCCCCCAGCCAACCTCCAAATCTGTGATAGGAAAGGAGAGGATGAACTTGGGAATCAATGCCGTGGCCGAATCCTCACCGGCCATCGTGCCTTGGCTAGAATCCGGTGCCCCTGATGAGAGAATAGGGTGAGGGAGCAGAGCTCGTCACCATGGAGCTCGCAGCCACTTTGAAACCACCTGCGCGACCGTCATCGATACCACAGGGAAGTGGCCACCATCGTCACCAACAAGTGAGGAAGGTTAACTTCTCGTCCTCTCCTCTAGGTGACCAGATACGTCAGCGGGAATCCGTGGCCCCCTAATCCGCCAGGCACCCTTCCCTCCGTCGAATCTGACCTCATAGTAGCAAGAAGAAGAGGGAGGAGGGGGGGCTTCTGCTGGGGGAGGGCAGCAACTCGGCTGGGGAGATGGGGATTGGGAGTAGCGACAGTGCCAGCTGGGCGAGGAGAGGTGGCGGTGGTGGTGAGCCCAACTGGGTGGATGTGTGGAGGGTGGAGAGGAACGGGGAGGGAGGGAGGGAGGGAGAGATGACTAGGAGAGTGGAGGACTTCAGCTTTTTCGTGGAGAGCGGAGGGGAAGGTGGAGAGGTCGGGGTAATAGGGTCGGTGGGACAGGGGAAGGAGACTTATATTATTTTTGCCCCTCCCCAAGCATGTTGACTTAATCAGCATATGTTTTTTAATCGGTTCTTAATGATACTGGTATCACTATAGGTTTAAATTATTATAGGGAGCGCGCCTATATGCGGCTGACTGTGTGCGGTTAGTCCATCACCCCTATACAGATATATAAATTATAAAGTTTATACATATATGTCAGAGTTACGGATAAGGCATATCCTCTATCCTTGGAGTCATAAGATATACGGATACGGTATATCTTCAAGTATAAGGAAAGGATCCTTTTGAGTTAAGGAAATCAATGAGTTCTAAAGAAATTAATCTCCACGAATAGAAAGTGTTAGAATCCTATTCAGAGGAGATAAGGATGTTGTCATACCGTACGGGGTCCGTTGTCTCCGAGTACTACTTGGAGACTAAGGTGATTTGCGGTATAAATACAGGCCCCTTGGGGTACAGATCATCAAATCCTAGCACAAAGACACACACCATAGCTGAGGCAATCTAGAGGACTTGAAGCCAATTCGCCCATAGATCTCATCGAGGCGTTTTCGACAGGGGTCTCGTTGGTAATCTCGGGATTCTATAGTTCTCTATTATACTCCATGGTTTTCTTCATAATCGCATATAAACTGGATTAGGGCTATTACCTTACAAGGTGCCTAAACCAGTATAATCCTTGTTTTCTATGTGCTTGATGTTGTATTGTGTAGATGCTCGTATCAACGTCCGCCAGTATCCCCGTCGATAGTATAAACTTTATATTTATACATATAAAGCTTATACATATATGTATACACTTTGTATTTATACGTATAGGTATAAAACTTTATATTTGTATCTATATGTATATATTTATAGGTATAAACTCTTTATAAATAAAAATTGTATATATGTACACATTCTATATTATATATATATATATAAACTTTGTACGTACAGAATTTTATAAATTTTATACATGTACATATAAAGTTCATGCACACGTATGAACTTTGGCTGACCTCCCGGTAGTATTTGATCTAAACATGAAAAAAAAATCCCAAGACCTAACAGAAAAATGAAAAGTGAACTTTTTTTCCAATAGAAAGATAAGTTAAACCCGTGAAGATTCAACTGGTCAAAGAGAAAAGCAGCGACGCAATCACGCTTCGTGCACCCCGCACGGTTGATCGTGCAATAGCATTTTTGTATTTTTAGGACGGGAATATGAAGTGGATCGGTCATGACAGGGTAAGTGATGGGTCGATAGTAATAGCCGTTTCTGTGGAGTAGTTACTGAAGTGTGTACCCAGTAATTAAGAGCCACTTTTAAACACATGCATCTTGTTCTATTTTTCTTTCTTATTAGAAAAAAGAATAATTCCCCATGGTGTGCTATCTCAATGCTAAGTTGGTACTTGGTTGCAGGAGATGCATTCATATATATACACCACCACCCAACACCACAACTGACCAATTGTTATTCACTTATTTGTGTTCTCTTTGTGCTCACTTGGTTTGCATGGTTAGATGAAACGGTAAACCACCTACCAGAAAGCCATCCTCCGCATTTCATCCTAATAAGTTTGGTGGTGAACCAACTACCATTGGATAATAGGCTTAGGAGTCATCTGGAATTTCCTTTGCTCACGGGTGCTGAAGACAAGCTTCTGAATTTCGACAAAGAAATGAATCTGAATTTTGATCTATTCTACTCTTGAATTATGTCCCTTTTCTTCTCTACTAGTAATCATGCACGTGCGATGCACGTTTTCCATAATATATCACTGGAGTACATAATTACAACAATATTTTTCGAAACTACATCTTCTGAAATACAATCTATTTAACCAAAATACATATGTCCTCACATAACTATAAAAATAAAAATAACCAACATTATGTAAATTACTATGGCCTTGTTCGGTTTAGAGGGGATTGAAGAGGATTGGAGGGGATTGAGGGGGAATAATTCCACACCATAATAGGTGTGGAATAAATCATCTCTAATCCCTCCTTCACAGGGATTAACCGAACAAGGCCTTAAGGAGAAGAAGACCCGCACTTCGTAAATAGAGAAGGCTATGTTTTCTTGCTCAACTATGGAGCAAAAGTAATACTATATGACTCCCACTATATAGAAAGCATATCTATAATTCCAATCATTCACCTTATCTTAAGTCAATGCAAGGTACTTCTGCTTTTAGATAGTCAGGACATATTATAGTATATTAGTATATAAAAAAGAGAAGATTGCATGCTATTCTGCTTGTCATATATGCTGACTGAATGATCCAGAAGAATCCTTTCGGTGTGGTATAAAGACTCAGTTTAGATGATCATATTGGCAACTTAAAATCTACATGAATCTAACTCAGAGTCTCACCCAATCTAAAGAAAATCAGAAGCTAAATCTTTGTGACAATAGAATTGATTCATTCACCATGTGTAAATCAATCTAATC